TATATATATATATATATAATATACATATTCTATACTCTTTTTGGCCAGAGAATGCAATTAGTTTCGGCTGACCTTTATATTTTACCCAATTGTAGTGATACTCTGAGCACAAGCTCAGACTTCTAAGAAGATGAAATCATCAATTTGTTTCGGCTGATTGGTCAATTTTGTATTTTGCCCGATTGTTGTTGATGTTACCCCTCCCAATTTGTTTTCCCAATAATTTGGAAGCATTTTTTGTTGGTCCATGGCCATTTATAGAGTCCGTTTGGCTTAGCTAATTTAAAGTAGCCGATAAACATTAAGTGTTGAAAAGAACTTTTAAGCGTTGAAACTTATTTAATAAATAAGAGTTACGTGTTTGAATAAAAGTGCTGAAATTTATAGTAAGCAGTTTAAATATTTGATGAAGAAATGTCGATAAGCAATTTTTTTGTTAGAATGACTTAAACATCCTTAATATTACTCATACTAATCTCTATTTTAAAAAGCGTTTCTGGGGCGAGCCCCGGGGTGAGGCGTACCAAAAATGCCCCGGGGCGATGGTGTGGGGCGAAAGTCTCAAGAGGCGTATGCCCCGCAATTTGAGGCGTATGCCCGGGCGTTCGGGGGCGCGTTTTTTTAGTAAGGAGTAAGTCTTAGAGACTTTTTCAAATTAAAACAAAATTTGTTGAATTAGTCTTTCATATAATACCCAAATTTTCAAAAGTCAGTTTGGTAATTACTCAAAAGGTTTAAAAAGGAACTCAAAAGTATTAAATTTAAAAGTAAAGACCTTTTTATTGATTTAAGCTCTAATTCATGGTTTTCCCAATTTTTTATCTTGTCCGTTAGTCTGCTAATATCTCCCAAAAGCAACGATTTTTTTTTTTTTTTTACAAATACAAAGAGAACTACATTTTTCTTCATAGCAGCAAATCCAAAGTTTAAATTGCAGGTTAATCATCCTTTTTGTTCCTGCATATAGAAAATTTTATTCTTTTAGATTCAAATTACTTGTGCTTGTAAGTAACGTATAATAGATTGTTTGATTAGGTTTTTGTGGGGATGGAGCACACGTATATATAGTTTTCTTCAATTTTTATACAATTTTACATGTTTATAAATATTAACTGTCATTATATTATTTTATAAAATATTAAAAATTAAATACCTATGGGGCTTACGCCCCGCTGAGGCATATATAAAACGTCCCGCCTTACGCCCACGCCTTTTAAAACACTGATACTAATAAGGCCAATTTTTTACAAGATTCTAAATTCGAAATTGATTCAAATACAAAAAAGTGTCTCATTTTATTTTTAATACAAAATAATTAGATAAGATCATCTTTTATAAATATAATTTATTATATGATAAGCTTTATGGTAATAATAAACTAAAATTTTGATTATAAGCTTAGATAAATATTAACAATTTGACCAAAGTTTATTAGTGAAAAAAACATATTGTACTTAGTAGTACACAACCCCAACCTGCCAGTAACATATCGAAGATAAAGGCAAAAAGTCTCTTTGAAGGATTCCAATTAGTGATTATAATACCCAGACAAACATTTCTTTTTAAACCATTCCAGTAGTATTTCTTTAGTGATTAATGAATTTAAATGATCACGGTATTATACCCCAGAGGGAGAGACCACAATCGATCAGTATATATAAAACTCACGTTCTTTCTTACATAAACGAATTTTGGCAACTAAAGGAAATGAAGAGTGATTTACAACAGAGATACTTTTTATTGTAAAAGATATTCTTGATAGTAAGGGTATTTAGGGATAGAGAAGTAAAAATTTGGTCAATTTAAAAGTGCTTATAAGCTGAAAAATCATAAGTTACTTTTGACTTATTTTAGCTTATAAGCACATTTAATTTTACCAAACGCGTAGATAAGGAGAAAAGTGCTTATAAGCTTAATCAAACACCCTCAATATGATTTAGTGCATGACCGCATCCATAAATTAATAAATTTATCATGACAATGGTGTCCGGGACAGCTATAACAATAGATACATTTGCCCTAACCTTATCCATTCTAAGAATTCAGAACCTAAAATTACCAACACTCATACACTTATCCGCAACCACTTGAATTCTTTGATATTTCCCAAGACAGCACAGACGTGAGAGCAAAAAGATGTTCTTGAATGCTAGTAGTCACTACGTTCTTGAATCCCATTTTGCAGAACCTGAAATTCTGTCTCTGCAATAAGTATTGGAGAGGCAAAAGATAAGAAAACGAAAGCAAACTCAAAATAGAGGGACAAAACAATATTTATTGCTCCTTTTAGTTAAAACTGGATAAAAAGGGCAGCGCGGTGTACAAAGCTCCCGCTATGCGCGGGGTCCGGGGAAGGGCCGGACCACAAGAGTCTATTATATGCAGCCTTACCCTGCAAAAGGTTGTTTCCACGGCTTGAACCCGTGACCTCCTGGTCACATGACAACAAGTTTATCGGTTACACCAAGGCTCAACTATATCTCCCCGATGCTACAAGAAAATTCATCATTTGCTTGAACTACACACCTAAGGTTAAAACGAGAAGATTGTTGGGAAGATATATACCTTAGTAAATTAACATTGAGGTAAAAATTATCATTTGCTAAGCTGGAGTTTGGAGCCATACCTATTAAAATTATGTTTCTGTCTTCTTTTCTACAACTGTCGTCAATGCATCTTCGATAGCTTGGGCAAAAGTTGCAATCTTGTAAGTGAAGAATCCAACTAGCATGGGTATCAAGTCAAGGTGCATGAACCCATACTCCGCCTCAAGAATCCTGAAAAGAAACCAAAAAATTAAGTAAGCAAAGGACACTACACTTAATGCAATGTAAAAGCATCAGAGCTTGCTACAGAAAAAAATTCAAGGAATTAGTCTGTAAATGATTCTTAGGTCCATTGAAGCACTAACAAGTTCAAGCTACTTCAGAATGGTTGATAATACCCTTTCTAGTGGTGTTTCAACTTATTACTGGACAAGTCTCAAGTAACTTAGGGGCGGATGTACAATTGTAGGTACGGGTTCAACTGAAACCATAACTTTTGGCGCGGTCATAAATTTATGTGTAAAACTTCACTGAAATTGTAATAAATAGTAGACATGAACCCACAACTTAAAAAATATAACGGGTTCAATGCTAAAAATCTTAAAAGTTGAACCCATAAAGTTTAAATCTTGGATCCGCCTCTGCTCAAGTTGAATGAAGGTGATTATTCGGAACTGAATGAAAACTTCATTTTTGACTTTTGGTCATGGAAAATATCCTTGGGACATCTCAAACTAGAAAAAAACAGAATAATAATTTTAATGCCATTACATTAGATTAAAATTCAAGAGTCAATAACTTGCCTCAGCCTATGTCCAAATCTGTTGGCTGGATTAACACTGCTCTGTAAATATTATACTTTGGCAAATAAAAATTTCTTTAATTACCAAAAAAAAAAAAATTGCCTCAGCGTACTATATTCCATTTTTGTTCTCCGATTCATTAAGTGATTAACTTCTATACTTGGTAAACCAAAAAGTATTAACCAAATCTTGAAAGTAAAAGATAGAATAGAAGTAACTGAAGTCTTTATCCATGCAGAAAAGTAATAAGAGAAGTTTTCCATGAAACAATTATTCTATCCACATGTGCTTTGATGCAATATGGTGACAGTGGAAGATCCGTACCCATTCCACCGGTTATATATCATAACCAAAACAACAGGAACCAATAGCCTCGGCTGCCCAGCTGCTCCCCTGCAAGTAAAGCTTTCTCGTCAGTTAATTCATCATAGCTCAAGCTACTCCGTTATGGCATATGACTACTATTCACATGTCAGTTGGGGATAAGTAATGATGCATTTCTTGGATTTCTAATTACCACCCGGTTTGTTACTAACTTAAGACCCTGGAATTAAGAAATTGTACACAAAGTACAACTCCAATGTGAAAATGTAATTGCAAGTCTGCCAAAGTATGAAGAGTAGGAAGATGTCAAAGTCTCACAGAAGTAAACCTAAAAACATCTTTTTACCTATTCTTAAGCAAGGTTTAAGGTACAAAGAGGGGGAGAACATGACAGTTTACTCATTAACAAACTGAGAGTACCCATCATACATATATAAGCCTATTAACTAATAATGTTTACCCAAACATTTTTCTTTTCAAATTTTCATTTGAGCAAATAAAATATCTTTATTTTATTTGTGGAACATTATAAAATTCTGGTTATAACATTATGGCATATGACTACTATTCCCATGTCCACTACCAGACATTTTTAATTGTGTTATATTTCATTTATTATGTTATTCCCTTGAATAGCAGAGCATAGATATCTTAATTGTCTCAACTTCGCACGACAATTTTGTCTAATCAAACTTCAACTTCATTCTTATATGAGGGTCAAAGTTCCGGTGCATATATTCCATCTTACTACTTAAAACCCTTATCTCTAGAGTACTTCTCCATAGTTCAAAATTTTGGTAGACTCCTTAGCTAGTTTCGTCAATTAATACAAATGTCATCTGAACTAGCATATATCATGAAACCTTATCTTGTATACTATGGTTATCTCATTCATAACTAGGATAAATAAGAAAGGGATCAAGGCAAATCCTTGGTGTAAACTCATGGTTATAGGAAACTCCATTAGTTTACACCAAGAATCTTTTTTAGCTTGTATGTGTTGTTAACAACTTGGAAAAACTCATACTAACCCATGTACCTTAAATTATTGGAGCCCAAATGGTCAAATAGCTTCATAAATGATATGATAATTATAGCACATCCATGACGTAGCGCACATATACCATGCAGAACATACAAGAATGACACAAAGCTAGCCTGAATTAACTTTCGCTCGTAGTACCCTAACTTACTAGTGGATGCAACACTTTTGGTGTGAAAAGTTTGAACCCAGTCTCTTCCCCCAACCGCCCCTTGTTTCCCTGGGGTGTCAGAGAAGGAGACAAAGCAGAAAGAGAAACATAGGACCGAGAAGCTTAACGAACAGATGTGTTGATACTTCATCCTAAAGGTATCTACTCATTAAGCAGAACATTTTTTTTCCTGCTTAAGACAATAAAATTGCAATATGGAAATCAGATTCAGTTTCTTAAGCAAAAGCAAATTAATATGGAATCACATTTCGGCTATGATTAAGAAGGAAGATAAAAGAAAACACTAATATATTCGACATAAACATGTAGAGAAGGAGCCATCAGCTAAAGATTGAATCATGAAAAGCATACTTGATAAGCGCTTTGGGTCCATCAGTCCTTATAGAATCAACGCTGTTCCCCAACATATGTATGTACATCAATGAACCAAGTAGCCCAGCTCCATAACTGGACAGACGAAACACATAACATTTTATCAACACCAAACATATGCATGTACTTGAAAGAACCAAGTAACCAAGCACCGTAACTGGTCAGATTAAAAACATAATATTTTACTAACATCAATTTTCAAAGCTTCATCGCATATGTGCAGATACACCAGCTTAATTCAAAAGACTATTTATTCCTCAGAACTATCTGGAAAACGTAAATTTATATAAGTAAAACAGAAATAAAACAGTCCTGGCTTGACAAAGGATATGCAAAGAATACTAGAAGATTTGGTCATTTCATTATATTGTATGAAGTTGCTATTTGATCGATAACAACATCAAGATTTCCTTCGTTCGCAAATACTACCAAAGTTAGAAACCTCAAGGGACCAAAATTTCCCAACTTAAGGAAAGCTAGCTTAATGGATAAGGGGTTGGGTTAAACTACAACATCGTCGGAGTCAGACCATACATTAATTCAGAAGAGCTGAAAAGAACCAGAATCTGTAGAAAGTCAACTAGTTTACCTAGCTGCAATTTCAGGAGAATAAGAGACATATGCTGAAAGTATGCCAACACCACCAATCCCAAGGGTGAGGAACTGCATTTTGTCCTTCAACTGCAGAGACAAGAAAACAAATAATTCAAAAGTGTGAACTTGTACAATGTCAACAGATTTCAATCAAGAGCATGATTCATGTGGAGTAAACACTAAACAAGTACCTTAAGATACTGCTCCACTGACTGAGCAGCTAAAACCTTTGGATCCCCTTTTCCCGGAGTAACACTTCCTGAGGGATGAAAAACTCAGAATTACAAGGTTGAGTACAATATTTCTATATCTCAGAAGGGAAGACGTGTTGAACAAAAACTATCAAAAAATTAGCTCCTTAAGCAGTTCTGGTAACATACACTACCCCCAGTTGCAGCCTTTGCAGCCCTATCCCACTTCTCCTGCTCACGTCGTGTTGGTGCTGGTCTCCATCTTTGAGATGCACTTACACTAGCCTGAAATCACGATGAACATAAGAAGCCAAATGCCCAAATAGCTAAAGCCAAGTGACTTATAATAGACATACCTGAGTTTCCTCGACTGTGGGGTCTAGAATAGGTTTCGAACGGGCTATTAGCTTCTCAGTCAAGTCAACATCCAAACTACACTATCAAAAAGCAATTACTTTAGAGGATGAAGGAACTCATATATCTCAATTCAAAAGAAAGGAGGAACAGGAGTCTCACCTGTCAAGACTCATGACTCTGTTTAAACTTAGAAATCCAGATGACTCTTCCTGTTAAGAGATCAAGCTGATATTAAGTCACAAAGTAAATAAAGCAACCATTTGAACAGAAATGGTAATAAACCAAATGCTCATAATTCTACCCTCTAAGTAAAACAACATTTTCAGACTACACAGAACTAAAGAGACAAACCGGAGTTTCGTATAATTCACTTAAAAATGGAAATGTAAACCATTCAATAACTAACACTGCTTTATTCCTGACATGCAGAAAGACAGGAAATATACCAATAATTTGAGCCCTGCCGACTAAGAAAGATTCCTCAGAAAATATTAAAATTAAACACAGAACAACACAACAGTGAATCCGTAAAGCAGTTCAATCAATCAATCAATTAACTATGCCTCAATCGTTGGAGTCAGCTACTTGAATCCTACCATTCTACTCTATTCGGGCACATCTGATTCCAATACTAAATAATTGATCTTTTATGACAAATCAATGGTCCTCTATGCAAATGATATTTTAAGAACAGCTTGTAGTGATATCAATGAAATGATAGTTGCTTTATCATTTTAAAAAAGGACAAATTACTTATCCCTACAAATGCAAGTGTAGCAAAAATATCTAAGTTGCAAGGCAGTTCAAATTCAATTACCAAAAGAAAAAAAACTAAAAGCTCGACAAGCAAAAAGGGAAGTTGTTTCAAGAGCAAAGGGCTTTCACCTTTTGTAATAACATTTTAAAACCAAACAAAGATAATAGAATTAAGAAAGTACTCCCTCTGTTCCAATTTATGCAATGCACTTCCTTTTTAGTCTGTCTCAAAAAAATATACCTTTCTAAACTAGAAACATCTCACTTTAAACCTATCCATTTTACCATTAACAAATAATTTATAACGACATAATCATTTATGTCTTGTTATAAACCACAATTTTTTCTTTCTTTCTTAAATTTGTGCCGAGACAAACTGCATCACATAAAAATGGGAAGGAGGGAGTAACTAATATTGACAATTTCAAACTTAGAATAGCTAATATATAAAGATTGAACCTTTTTAGGAGCAGAGCGAGAAGCAGTATCATTTTCTTGAGGATCCTGAACATACTTTTTCATACGACCCATGAATTCTTTATTCCAAATAAAATCATCAGAAGTAAGAGGGTCTACATCCTGACCCCAGTATTTTCTAAGCTTAGTTGTAGTAGGTGGGCCCCCATAATCACCTGGAGCATCCCCAGTGGACCATTTCATAGGCTTCTTTTTAGGAAGAATCACTTTTGTTTGCCTTGGATGTGGTTGTGGGGATTGTGTTGGGGATAAATTGTGTGCAGATTCTTGAGATTTTGGTGTGGCTGTTGAGGTTACTGAGAGATAGTAGCAATTTAGAACTGCCATTTCTTTGGTTCAATGTGTGTGTGTGTGTGTTTCTTTGGATTTCTGGGAATGGAAGAATCTGTGTTGAATGATTGTAGTGTGTAACTGGTGCTGATGACTATTGTGTTTTTGGTTCCTCTTTTCCTTTCTTTTCTTTTCTTTTTTCTGTGTGTTTTTGGTTGTGAAAATAAGTGGTAGGGAAAGTTTGCTTACTTGGACCGTTTAGGTGGATGAATAAATTTTGTGGTCCATAATATATATGATCTTTTTCGGAAGATATAAGGAAGTAATTAATTTTTATTTTTCAAAGTTATTTTTGGAGTAAAAATTCTCAGAATATCCGTTATATTTATAATAAATAAATTTAAAAAATAATAAAGGTTAATATGGTCAATTGTTAATTAATGTTAAAAGTTAACTTAATTAATATGCGTAAAAACTGTCAAAAAAAATCAATTAAAGTTGTAAAAGGGTACTGCATTGCCTATTCGCACAAAATCTAGTAGTAATTCAATTAGAAGAGGCGCCAATTAAAGTGAATAATACATATAGCTAAGTGCAAAAGTTTATGTGCAAGATATATGTCTCGACCTATTTATTTGGTGCAAACATTAAGTGCCAATAAATTTAATAATTTTTTCATAAATTATTAATCTATTATTAAAAAATTATGCTTTTATTTAAAGTTCATCCTTACACTTTTTAATTACGATTTTTTTCTTGAGAACACTCGCCTCGTCGATTCTTTTCCTAACAACAATATGCTTTTCAAAGTAATTAGCAGCACTAACTTTGAAAAAACGAGAGAAAGCTTTTCTAGACTCTGGAGCATACATTTACAGGTTTATATCTCGCTAATAGAGAATGCAGGGTAAATTTAACAAATGAACATATAATTTGATTTACCAAAGATATAATTTTATTTTCTCACATAAAAATCATAAAACTTTTACTAATTCGCACAAAAATCATAATAATCGAAAAACATAACTTTCCGGTAGTATGTTCTTGGAGTACAGTAGGTTCTTTTGGTTTTTATTTTCAGTCTAATAAATAATAAGCCAACTAAAATAGGAATGACCCACCCCCACCCAATAGCCATATATATAAACTAAAATAATACTAAAGTGAATCCTTCAAAATACAATACTTCCATATTTTATTTTTCTTTTCAACAATTTTATCCAAATTGGTAGCATTTATATTTCAAGTGCTCTCTAATTATAACTTTTATTTATTTATTTATTATTGTCAGAATCTCATACATTCCAAAGTAAGTTTTTTGTGTTAAAATGAATTACTTGTAGTATTATTTAATCTATGTATATGAGTATTGGGTCAGGTTGGGTTAGATCATTCCTATTTTAAGGGGAAAAAATATAAAATTGATCGATTGGCCTAAACTATCTGCATTCCCCAGCCATAAAATATTTAGAATAGGTATATTATATGTATATAATACACACATATATAAAAATATAATATTTTATCAACTATTATTTTTTAGAACTGCTAATATATATATATATATATATATATCCTATTTTAATTAGCTTATTATTTATTAGACTGAAAATAAAAATTAAAAAATCCTGGAATAAGAAAATACTACCAGAAATTTGTGTTTTCCGATTATTATGATTTTTGTGTGAGTTAGTGAAAGTTTTATGATTTTTTGTGTGAAAAACAAAGTTATATGACTTTAGTGGAAAAAATATAATTATATGATAATTTGTGAAATTTATTCAGAAAATGCAAGGGGCATGATGTAATATTCTAGCACTGAATTTATCATTATGAGCATCTTAGCTAAAAATATTGGGAAAATAACATTATATAACTGCTATTAAAATAATAGTTGAAACCATTCGAATAAATAAGACATTATAAAGAGCATGCATACAAAAAAGTGTAATAGTGTGGATTTTCTATTAATATAAAAAAGAAACCTGAGTAGTCTTCTTACTCTTTTCTCTGAGTTTTCCTAAATTTATCACCAATAACTTTATATATGAATCGGTATTCTTAAATATAAAATTAACGTCTCTTACCGTGTTATGTGAAGTAGTAGATAGTTATTAGTTTGGCGTTGAAAATTTTAGAACTTTTTTCTAGTACAACAGCAAAACAGAAGCGTCGAAACTAACTAGTTTGACAACACAAATAATATAAAACCAGCTTAAAAACTAAATTTGAGTAAAAAATACAGTACTATTACATTACATAAAGATAAAACCCTTTTACGCAAACACTAGTCCAAGAACTTAATCAAGTTAGGCAATTAAACACTCATACATAGTACATAAAAGACTAGTTGAACAATGTAAAGTAAAAATTGTACTAAACTATAAACAATAAAATTCAAAGAAGCCCAACATGTTGAACATAAGGAAATTCTTTCACAAAATCAAAGTTATATTTACAGATTTGAAGCTACGAGTTCGTGATTCTAATATATCTCAGAATTAATCCAATTTTTTCTCAAGAAGTACCCCACTCGCCCTTATAAGTCCATTCTTAATGAGCCCTCAATAAGTCAGGTGAATATTTAAGTTCTTCATCAGTTGTAGGAAAGTAAACAATGTAGTCAGACCCAATCTTCCCGTAAATGAATTCAAACTGCCAGCCTTCATTGTCAAATACATCAACTTCGTCGTATAAATTAAAGCCGCCCACGGGGTTTGCAATATGAGGTGGCACGGGACGAGCTTCTGAGACAGTGACAATCTCCTCTAGTAGTTATGATTCATATTATGTCAATAGAGTCTTGTACTTGACTTTATAACGTGAAGTGTCAATGGGTGAAACTATAGTTGATTCGTAATAGGAGCCAATGAAGCCTGATTCTTCGCTTTCCACCTCTACTTTGTCACCCTTTTGAAACGCCATGATTTTAATAAGATGAATGGAAACTAAAGTGAGGGGACTTGTGTATAGGAGCAAAAGTTGTTTTCCTATAATGTCTAGGAGTAGGTTTTGGTGATTTTTTTACCCTTTCAGGTTAGGAAAAGGAACAAATATTTGATGGGATGATCTCGACCAGTTTATCTCTCTCTACTTCACTTTTTAAAACAAATATAAATAGTATTAATAATTCTTTCATATTTTAACATTTTTTATCTTTTAACTTCTTAAATAGAGTTAAAACAAAGGTGGTCAGTACTCGGTAGATATTGAGAATTTGTAGTAGCTTCGTTGCAAAGATTGAATAATAAACTACATTGAAAACAATGTTTGCAGAATTCGGCCATTAATAATATAATTAAAGTTAAACTTCTATGTTTAGTTAGTAACCTCATAAAGTGGAAATCAACCTAAGAAGTTAAAATGACTTTACAAACAAAAGAAACATGATATATCATATAATTTCGAATAGTTGAGTGACCATTTGAGTAAGAGAAAATGGCCAAAATTTATCCTTTTATTTTCGGATATTGTCTACATTTAACATCCGTTATACTATTCGGCCAAATTTACCCCTACCGTTATACTATCCGGTCAAATTTACTCCTACCATCAGCAAACTTTTAAAAATTACTCCTCAGTCCGTTAGGTAACCCAAAATCTCCCAAATCCCTTTTAATTGAAATCACTTGTTCTTCTTCTTGATTCACTATTTTCAGAAAATTACTATTAATGTGAATGCTAAAGGTATTAAACTATATAAATTATTCATGGATATTTTTATTTATCATTGCACACACTTCTCTTCTTGTGATAATGAATTTGGAATTGGTTTAAAATATTTACTAATTTTTCAATCATATACACACTGCAGAATTCAGTGGGTCTATTTATTATGTATCATATGCAGCTGCTCATTATGTATGTACATATATATTCAAATATATTTTGTAATTGTCTAGTTAATATAGAGTTCGGTCAACTAACTTAAGAGTGCACAATGTGTAGGCATTTGATTAAAGCAAAGTTTAATTCGATAATGTAAAGTCTCCAAGGAACTTCAACTTCTATCACTAATACTTACAAAGTTTCCATACCTTTGTTGCAACGAATTTATTAAAGCTCGGGTAATACATTTAAAATTTAGACAAGCTACTTAATTTAAATTTTTCAGTTTACTATATATTATATTTCATAAATAGAGAATCCAAGGGCCATGATGTAATGTTCTAACACTGAATTTGAAATTGTAAATCAATTAAGAATCTAAACTAAACACATTCGAATGATTAAGACATTGTAAGAGAGATGCATTAAAAAAAGGTGTAATAGCTTAGATTCTATTAGTAGTATCTAAAAGAAACCTGAGTCTCTTACTCTTTTCTCTGATGTAATCTTCTTTTGTTTTCCTAATTAATCACCAATACTTAAATGGAAAATTAACGTCTCTTACGGTGTTATATGGAGTAGTAGATAGTTCGGCACTGAAAAAGTTAAAATCTTGTAAAAATCAACTTAAAAACTAAATTTACATTTAAAAAAATAGTACTATTATATTTGTAGGCATATAAATTTTATTGAAATTAAATTCATAAAATAATTGAGACTATATATATTTTAAAATTCAAGATATATTAGTTCAAATAAATTTATTGGGCTAATATAATTGGATTAATTATAAGTCCAATATATATGGATTAAATAAATAAGACTTAATCCATTGGGCTAGTCCATTTAATTGGGCTACAAATGATGAGCCCACTTCGTTAAGCCCAATATGCCATCTTCCTAGAGGCCCAGTTTGGTGCCACGTGTCAAATGACGTGGCACGCCAAGTCAAACAAAAGAGCCAATGAGATCATGCCATGTATCAGAATGACAAGACATGCAAAGTCAAAGTAAAAGGCCAATGAAATCGCGCCACGTGTGCAAGTGACATGTTCTGGCCAATCAAATGCGGTCATGTCACACTTCAATTTGATTGGTCGGAAAGAGTTTGTACTTATCATAACTCCTCCCTTTCACAACTATAAATAGGGGTATTCATAACCGAGAAAAGACACTAGAAGTTATAACAAGAAGCAAGAGGGAGCTCCTGGATCAAACGCTGCGGATTTCTCTAAAAGCTACAAGCATTCAAGTATTCTAAGGATTAAAAGATCAAGACGAAGATTCAAGAACAAGTTGCAAGCCCTTGGATTAAAAATACGTCAAGATCAAGATCAAGTTTCAAGCACTTGGATTAAAATAAAATAAAATTCAAGATTAAGCTCGAATGCTCTTTTAT